ATATATATATATAAATCGATCTTGATCTCTTGTACACTGGTAAAAAAATAAAAAAATACCTTTAAACTTTAAAAAATATTAATTTTCTACTTTATTACTACTAATTTAAAACACTAAACATAATCAAAGAGATTCTCTTATATAATACTAAGATTTGGGATTACTCACATTATCAGAAAATGGTGTGTCTGAATGAAAATCAAGAGAATTTAACTGACTGACAGATTCATAAAGATGCAGCAATCTCAATTTACTGGCACAGTACTGTAGCAATCCTTCATCAACAGACTCAAACTCTAAAAGGTGGGGGAAAAAAACATTAAGGAGATATATTTAAAAGACTCACCATAAAAGCTTTTCTTTCATTAAATCTCTTAATGTTACATAGTTCCTTGATGTTCTATTAATTCCTTGATATTCTATTATATTAAATATTGAGATGCTTAAGTTATACCAGATTTTGAAAAGTAAAGATAATTTTCCCACCATGGTAAAATGTCACACTTTTTAAATGAAATAAGATTCTCTAAGAGTAAGGGAAGAAAACTGTCTAATACTCAAATTTTTAAAAATGACTGGCAGGATCTTTGAACATATTCTCCCTCACCCCGTAATTCATGTGCTATTATGCTCACACACTGAGGATATACAAAGACAAGCTACCTGGCTCTTCTCACTTTGTAGTGGTCATTAATACAATTCAACCAAAAACTGGATTGTGACAAATGTATGCTCAAGAAAGGCTGCCAAAGAGATTAGAGTGGGCTGGCCCATAGCCTAGGGGCTAAGGGAGCCGGATCCAACATGGCCAACCATAGTTTTTAACACTGGCCCAGGCAGCTTGGGAAACATACCCTAAAGTCATAAGGGGATAGAGAAATGGAGGAGGAAGGATTGTTGTGTGACCATGCTCCATTTGGGGGTTGCTTCCCCCTCCCGACCCGTCTCTCTCTGGTGAGTGCATGTAATCTCTGAAAATTAAAGAAAAACTTTTTATTTTTTTAAAGAGAACAAAAGTGTAATTTCATTTAATATCTTCAATCAGTCAGGTTTTATTTTGTACAAGATTAATGCTGGAGAAATACTCTCTTGTCATAACATGTTTCTGGAGAAATAATTTAAAAAGATAGACACTGAAAACATCCAAGAAATCTTATGTGGTACATAGCAAAACAGAGTATTGCTCAAGTTCTTATAGCTATAATAAAGCCTAACATACAAAGTACTTAAAATTTTTAGGAATCTCACTTATGGGTAAAACTTGAAATTATGATGATTTTTTTTTTATGGAGAGATTTTCGCTATAGGGTGTGTGTGCTCGCCAGACAGACAGAGAGAGACATAGAGACAGAAAGCGAGAAATCACCCCGCAGGGGGGATGGTCACGCTGCAATCCCTTCTCCTCCATTCTCCTCTCGGGATCTTGGGCACGCATGCACATGTGCCCGGTGTGAGTTTTAAGCCACCAGGTCCAGGACACGAACCACGTCGACTGTGGGAGTCCAGCGACATAGCCATTACACTAACTGGTGGTTCCCAAATTATGATGATTTTATGTTAGGTTGTCAGGAAACTCATGATGTATTTTTCTATCTGTTTTCAATGCAAAAATATGTCGTGACTTTCTTGATAACCAAACAGAATAACAATAGTGCCATAGAAGATAATTTTTCATTTCATAAATTTTGATCTTTTGTTAAATCTTTAAAAGGTAGGAGTTTTATAAATATATACTGTACTATATACCTTTTGTTTTATTTGTCTTAAAGATGGTATGGATTGACACCAGCAGGTGGGTAGTGGTTAAGGCAGCAGGACTCCCACATAGGTGAGTATAGTTTGAGTCCTAGACCTGGCAGCTTGTTTTCTCACTTTCCTTTTCTCTTATCCTTTCTCTGGTCAACTTCAAATAAATAAATAAATAAATAAATAAATAAATAAATAAAAAAATAAAAAATAATGACAATAAATCAAATTAAACAAAATAATTCTTAAAAAAAAAAAGATAGTATGGGTATTTTACAATCCTCCTCCCTCAGCCTCCTGAGTAACTGAAATTACAGAAGCAAGCTAGTAAGTCTGGCTTTTAGAGTGGGCCAGGAATCAAACCTGGAACTCCCATGTGGCCTCAGCTTGCCAAGTACAAAAATCAATCAGTGTGTACTACAGGATCTATAGGTACTATGCTTTTCTTTTTTCTGAGAGAGATTTTTGCTTATAGGGTGTATGTGCTCACTGGAAAAACAGAGGGACAGAAAAGAGAAATCATCCCCCCCAGGGAGGATGGCCACCCCACAATCCCCTTTCCTCCATTCTTCTCTTGGGATCTTAGACACGTACGCACACATGCCCATCATAAGATTTAAGCCACTGGATCTGGGACTCAAGCCACAGTAGACTACTTGGGAGTCCAGCGATGTAACTATTACATCATCTGCTGGTCCCTGTACTATGCTTTTTTTAAGGCAGTTCAGATGAAGATCAACTACATACATTAAATGAGGAGGGAAAAAAGGTCCCCAAATATTAAAGGTATGGAGTAAGTTTCCTTATTCCTTTAAGTTTTGCTATAGGGTGGATGCACACCAGATAGAGAAAGTACCCTTGGTGCGTAATGGTCATGCCACAGTCCCTTTTCCTCCGTTCTCCTCTCAGGATTTTGGGCATGCCAGCACTTGAGCCTCATGTTTTTCAAGTCCCTGTGTCTGGGACTCATGTTGTGCAGTCAGCCATGTGAGATTAGCTGCCTGAACCATCATACCAGTGGCTGGCTGGCTCATTCATTTGTTCATTCATTCATTCATAATTTTCACATTAAAATAACATGTTGTGTGTGTATAATTTCCACATCAAAATAATGTGATAATATAAGCAGCTAAGAGCTTTCAATAATCCAAATTATAAAATTTGAAGTGAGACCTCCAATCAGTACAAACCCTACTTATTACCTTGACTTTTCAAAGAATCCATTAAGGTCTGAGTGATGTTCCTAAGGCAGGAAAATGGTAAACGTTCACTTGCCAAAATGCTTTCCAAAGCCTAGAAGAAAGATTGAACAGTTCTTGTAACGATTAGGCACCAATTTTGCTTTTAAAATTTTATATTTATGCCTATACTTTCATTACCCTAATTTCAAATGAAAGTTCCTTATTTAAGATATTTTAGTATATATATCTTGAGATTAAAGTTGCATCATAAGTAATCAATTTTATGCTACACCAAATATGCAAAATGACAAAAAGTCAAAACTGAGAATAAGACAATTAAGTTGGGAACTGATATTTAACAGAATAGCCAAAACAGTAACAGAATTCTTATTCACCAATAAGAAGAATCAGAATAAACCTATACAATCTAGGCATAAATAAAAAGCGGAGCTTATTGCCATGTCGATGAGAGCTAAGAACAGCCTAGGTAAAGTTTAATTACTGCATTTGAGCATGGCAGGCTAAATCTGTAGGCCTATTTAGAACCTACCCTATCCAACCTACTCTTTCTCCTGTAAAATATTACTTCCAAAGATATTTAATAGTCATCATAACTAGTTCCAAAATATCTCTTCATGACTAAAGTAGCAACCATCAGAAAAAAAATCAGTGGGTTACACGCGGCAGTTAAGGTTATTTATCCTATTAGCACAGAAAATCAGATTTTAATTGATGGGATTAAATAGTTTAGAAAATAGGCTGACTTGCATCCTATAGCAAAAACCTCTCAAAAAAAAAAAAAAAAAGAAAGAAAAGAAAAGAAAGGAAGCTGAGAATACAGCATGAGACAAATGTCAAACAACACAATAAACTCCATGTATTTGTGGGGGGAAATAGGCTTCAGAACTGGCTCAAGATGTTGGCCAGCCCGATGATGAAGCAGCTACCTGGAGAACATGAAGAAAGTGACCGAAGGCAAGCAGCTAGGGCAAATGTAAACTGCCTCTGTACTGCCTGGGACTACACATGGTAGCATCTGGCTTATTTTTCTCCCTACTATCGAGTATTCCAAAGCCTAAACTCATTTCCTTCCTTTACTGTTATGAATATATGACTTTTTTCTTGAGTTTTCTAGCATTTTTTAAAAATAAAATTCATAGCCTTATACATGATTCAGAAGTATAGCACACAGAAAAAAAAAAAAGAACAAGAAATACTTTGCACTATACGAAAGTTTCCTGATTTTGTTGTTTTATTATGTAAAGTAAGAAAAATTCTTGGTTGGGTTATGACCTTTTTCTCTACTACAAATTCTATAAATTGCCTCTAGATGGCCACCTTGTCTTCCTACTACCATGTTCAATAACTGAGACTGCACTGAGGAAATCGAGAGCCAATTGGCATTGCCAGTAGAATGCCAGGCACAGAGACTGTTCTGCCTGTTCCACAATAAAATAATAAAGTGTTTAGAAAATTACTTCAACAGAAATCGATATTCACTATTTCTATCAAGTATGTAGCTGTGAAATAATAAAAAACATACATATTGGCTTCTGCCTCCTGCCCCTGGCATAGAACTCCTAAAACCTCTATAATCTCCCGAGCAACAGGGGTACAAGGAGCATTTTTTGTAGTAACATTTTGGTCTGTGACTTTCAGTTCCTAACAGAGATTTTAAGATCTTTGAAATTTCTGGGTGATAGGACCATCTCTATTCTAATGAGATAATTCTTGGTGGGCTTCTGGATAGATTCCCAATGGGGGCTGACTGTCAGGGAACCGGCCATGGGATAAGATGATTAGAACTTCCAGTTCCACTCCCCAACCACCAGACAAGGGAGAAGGGATACAGATTGAGTTGATTACCAATAACCAATGATATAATCTACCATGTCTATGTGATAAATGAAGTATCCATAAACACCCAAAAGGAGATGGTTTGGAAAAAACTTCCAGATTGCTGAAAATGTGGAATTTCCTTAAGGGTGGCTTGCCCAGAAAGGCCTGGTTCTATAACCCTTCCTACATGCTTGTCCATGGCTCTCTCCCATCTGGTTGTTCATATGTATCCTTTATAATACAGATTAGTAATAAGTGAGCAAATGTAAGTACAGTGTTTTCATGACTTCTAGAGACCCTCTAGCTAAGTAAACCTAAGAGAGCTATGGAAACTCTAATTTGCAGTTAGCTGGTCAGAAGTATAGATGACAACCTACTACTTGCAACTGGTATATGAAGAGGGAGTTTTGTAGAACAAAGGCTTTAACTTCTGGGATCTAGCACTAACTCAAGGTAGATAAAGTCAGGAATGAATTGAATTAGAGGACACCTGGCTGGTGTTGGCCAGAGAATTGCTATGGTTTGTTTTTTTTTCTCATAATATCACAGTAACATTATTATTACTTCATTTGCTATAGGACCTGTACTCACCAGAAAGAGAGAAAGAGAGAGATGGGGGTGGGAGTAGGGAGAAATAGAGAAAGTGAGAAAATGCTTCCCAGGAGGAATAGTCCGGCTGCAATTCCTTCTCCATTTTTCCTCTCAGGACTTTTTTTTTTCTTTTTTTTTAGAGATTTTTTTTCTGCCTTAGGGTGCATGAGCTCTCCAGAGAGAGAAAGACACAGAGACAATGAGAGGAAAAGTGAGAAATCACCCCACAGGGGGATGGCCATGCCGCAATTCCTTCTCCTATATTTTTTCTCCCAAGATCCTGGGCACACACACACACACACACACGTAACTGGCATGATTTTGAAGCCACAGGCTCTGGGACTGAACTGTAGTCAGCCATGTGGGAGTCCAGTAATGTAAGACTTCACTGTCTGCTGGTCCCTCCTCTCAGGATTTTGAGCGAGCACACATACTTTCCCAGCACGTTTTTCAAACTACTGGGCCCAGGACTTGAACCATCTAGTTGACTATGTGGGATCTAACCACCTTAACCACTATATCACCAGTTGGCCAAGGAGCATTATTTTAGATGCCATAGGATACAAAAATGAAGTATCCTATTGGGTTTCTACTTGAAGAAGCTTAATAAAAAGAGAAAAGTTGAAGAACTATGACTAATATACATGAAATAATTAGAAAATGAGTAGTCATCAACTATACTGTTCTAATTAAAAGTAGATTTATCCATGGGGATTGAAGTATCACATAAGAATTTAGGGAGTGAGGACTTCAGCAGCATTATGTTTGGAATGGAGTAAAAGAAACTACAACTGGTTACCATATTATAATCTTGAGCCTGGCAAAGGAAACAGAGCAGCAGAGCCTCTTATACAGTGCAAGTCGGGGTATAAATCAGTACAGTAATCTTGAGAAACAGTCTGTCATCAATTAATACAGCTGAAGAAGCCATACTCTAGCAAGTCCAGCATTTGGTAAAGCCCCAAGAGAAACTTACATATGTGCACCGGGAAACATGTATAAGGATAAACATAGCATCATTGTTTTTAATAGCAAAAATAACTGAAATGTTCAATGACAGGAGACTAAATAAATTACAGTCACAAGTAAAAATCCATGTGGCATAGTAAATGAATCAAATATAGCTATCTATATAACAATATGGATGACTCACAGAAACATAACATTAAAGGAAAAACTAATGTCACATAAGAGACAGAGCATGACTTCATTTATATCAAGTTTTAAAAGGCAAAAAATACATCATTAGGTTTCAAAAGAGCCACACAGAAATGATACAACTATAAAGAAAAGCAAAAGAGGGACCAGCAGTAAACGTAATGGCTATGTCGCTGGACTCCCATGTAGTCGACCGTGGTTTGAAACCTAGACCCAGTGGCTTAAACTCATGCTGGACGCGTGTCCATGTGTGCCCAAGATCCCAAGAGGAGAAGGGATTGCGGCGTGGCCATCCCCCCTGGGGGGTGATTTCTCACTTTCTGTCTCTCCGGCAAGCACACACGCCCTATAGCAAAAAAAACTCTAAAAAAAAAAAAAAAAAGAAAAGAAAAAGACAGAGAAACACAAAATTCTGAATTGTGGATTGTGGGATTGAGAAGGGACATGGGAATCTCTTTGGCATTTCTGGTAAGCTATGATTTCCTAATACACATGTATGTGTTTATTTTATTATTCTTCTTTAATTTAAAAAAAGAGAGATAAAAGATACTTCCAAATGGGACTATAAAAAGGGATGAATATAAGAACAACATGAAGAGTTTAGCCTGTCATGTTTGGAGGGAAGCAGGAAAATAAGAGGGATCTTCAACTGTTACTCAGCAGAAAAATTCATATATTTATATACTTACTTGCTTTTTTGTTGCAGGGTACTTAATATCAAGAATTAATTCCTTTATTTCTGCTTCAATCAAATCTAAAAAAGGAAAATCAGTTAAAATAAAACATTCTCCGCCTTTTTTTTTTTTTTTTTTTTTTTTAAAGGGACTTATTACTTTAATTTTTTTTTT